TGCATTATTGTAAAAATGGTATAAATAATATCAGTGCACTAGTGAAAGAATATTAGACTCCCCAGTTGATGTGTATTGGACATGTGGTGTGATTTGCTTACTCCTGAACATTGGTAAAAATCGAACATTTCCACCACTTTGAGCTCAATTTCAAGGTCGTTTTCATAGTGAAACTAATCAAAATCATCTCTATTTCTGTAATATGTTTTCCATTTTATCACGTGAGACCATGAAAACGAGAATACAATGATAAATACTATATGAAAATACACCTCAAAATCGGCGTTTAACCCTTTCAGTGTCTGTCCCGTAGATCTACGGCTTTACGTTCAGGGTCCAAACCGTAGATCTACGTCATGAGCTCAGCTCACTCTGATAAACTGTGAGTGGTACATTTGGGCCTAGATATGAGAGAATACATCTATGTGGTATGTGTGCACCATATAAAACAGATCCTGCAGCACACTGTGTATAACGAGAGAAAAAAAACTGAAATCATGATTTTTCGATTAAAACAGCGACTTTGCAGTGTTTTTTCGTATGTTTTTTATAGTTGTGTTTGCGATTTCTTGGTCTCAATTGATAGAATGGAAGACATATTACAGAAATAGAGATGATTTTGATTGGTTTTAGCACTGGAAATAGCTTGAAACTGAGCTCAAAGTAGCAGAAATGTTAAATTTTTGTCGACATTCAAGAGTAAACAAACGACCTTACACTTCTAATACATGCTAGCTGGTGGGTCTAATATGCATTCACAAATATGGTGATGATATTTATACAATTATTACAGTATTGCATAACAGTAAATCTTCTATTTTTTGGTGTGAATAAAAATTCATTACGTGAATAAAAAATCAAAATGGAATTTATTTGTAAAGCCTCAAAATGTAACTAATGAACAGAGGAAATGTTAGTTTAGTTCCAGGAATACCTACCTTGTTTATTCTGGACCCTATTTTGAAATTGGAATATTTTGAACTTTGTGTTAAATTGGCCAAATTAACAATTTCCGATCACTTTAATTTGTAGTTGAAACAGTTGACTTGGCGATTTCTTGTGCTCAATCGATAGAATAGAAGTGATACTAGTGAAATAGCTAAGAATTTGGTTGACTGGAATAATGTAATTGGCCTAAAATGGGAGTCAAAGTCGGTAATATTGCCGATTCATAAATATCGCTGACACATCAAAATTCGCGAGAGCATAATTTCGTCAATTTTCCATCAAATTTCGTACTTTTTGTTTTATTACCTTCACAAAAAGATTCTCTACCATTTCAAAAGAAAAAATAACAAATTTTTTTTTTGGAAAATTCTTGGACACTGGGGCACCACTTCAGATTTGGGCCTTGGACCCTGAAGGGGTTAAATCCAAAAAAAAAAAAAAAAAAAAAAAATGGTCAGTTTTTTGTTCTCATTATGCACTGCGTGCTGCAGGATTATTTTTATGTGGTGCACACTGACCACACAGACCCATTCTCTCACATGTGGGCCTACCAGCTTTCTCCTGCTTGATTTGAAGCCGGCTAGAATTTACGTGTATAAATACGTCCGAAACAGTGGCGTGTAAGAAGTACTGTATATATACGACCAAAACAGTCAAAGGGTTAAGAACCAGGTCTTTCGGGTTCAGATACCCTGAGGAGGATACTATCTCCAAACTCTCTCTTGATGGGTGCCAGACCCATTGACAGAAATGATGATGGCACACACTGGGATAAACTGACCACAAAGGACATAAGGCAAGCAGGGAAGGTCATGTGACCATCATAAAGTTGGTGGGCCAGAGGGAATGAACACCCTAACAGGGACTCAAGAAGAGCTATAAGAACTACCATAAATCTCAAAGGCAGCCAGTGGGCCATCAGAGGCAAGGGAAAATGGAATGTTAAGGAAATAGTATCCACAGAGATATGACAGTATGCTACAACACAAGAATGTTACCTATAGGGGCATAAGCCTACTGAGTATATTGGGTAGAGTTTTGGCAAAATTATTATTGAAAGAGTTGAGAGTAAGTCAAAGAGTAGGACTGCAAAAAACAAAGATGATTTAAGATGGTTTGGGGATGGGTGGACAAAGTGTTTACATTGAAGCATACAAGTGAACAATAAAGATAAGGAACTCTTTGCTGCATTTATGGATATGGGAACAATGAAGCAAATGTTGGAAATGTATGGACTAGGTAATGGGTAACAAAAAACAATAAGGGTTTTTTTAAGTGGATAAAGGTAGGCCTTTGGGAAGGATGTGTGATGTCACCATGGTTGTTTAATATATTTATGTATGGAATTGTAAAAAAAAGTGAACACTAGGTTGTTGGGAAAGGTAAGGGATTAAAAGATAACAAATTTAATACAAAGTGGGAGCTGTCACAGTTGATCTTTACTGATGGCACAGTTCTTTTGGGAGATTTTGAAGAAAAGTTACTAGGGGTAGGAGGATGAATGTGAAAATGTATGTGAAAGGAAATTAAAAGTGAACATAGGAAGAAAGCAATGAAGGTAACAAAAAATATATGCAATGGAAGACTGGCTATCAGATTAGAAGGAAGGAGGTAGTATGGAAGAAGTAAGTTTATTCAGATATTGAAGAGTGAAAGTGTCAATAGATGAGTATTAAACCGTAAATGGTCCAAACGTACATATAAATTTTTTCAACATTTGACAGTATGTAAAAAAAGTAGATCATCTTTTTTTTTTTTTTTTACATTTGAAAACGTTTAAAAAAACTTTGATCTACTTTTGTTTTTTTGTTATATTTGAAAATGTGTAAAAAAAAACATAGATCTACTTTTGGAGCACTACGCATGTGAACACAGATCTGCTTGGACCATTTACGGGTTAAAGACGAGGTGAACCACAGAAGAGGCAAGGGAAATAAAGTGGGTGGTGTGCTGAGGCATCTGTTAAGACAAAAATTACCTATTAGAGGCAAAACAGGGAATGTACTAGAGTATAGTGGTACCAACACTGTTACATGGGTGTGAAGCATAGGGTTTAACATCTACTGTACAGGAAAATCTGTGACACTAAATTTACATGTTGATGAAGAAAGGGAAGCAGTAATTTCATGCACTGGCCAGGGAGGTACAGCCTCTTTTTGGAGTGAAGAAGAGCAAAATGTGAGTGTGGGGGAGGTGTGTGAGGCATTAAGCAGAGTGAAAGGGATTAAAGCAGCTGGAACTGACGAGATCATGACAGAAAAGGTAAAAGCAATTGGGGATACAGTGTTGGAGTGGCTGGTATTTTTGTTTAAATGTATGAAAGAGGGAAAGGTACCTAGAGATTGGCAGAGAGTATGTATAGTTCCTTTATATAAAAGGAAGGGGGACAAAAGAGACTGTAAAAATTTAAGTGTATGGTAGAGTTATTATCAAAAGAATTAGAGGCAAGACAGACAGCAAGACTACAGATGAACAAGGTAGTTTTAGAATGGGTATGGGATGTGTAGATCAAGTGTTTACATTGAAGCATATATGTTAACAGTACTGAGATAAAGGGAGGGAAGTTTTCATTACATTCATGGATTTAGAAAAGGCATAAAAAGGCATATGACAGAGTGGATAAGGGAGCAATGTGGCAGATGTTGCAAGTGGATGGAATAGGTAGTGACTAAATGCTGTAAAGAGTTTTTATGAGGATAGTGAGGCTCAGGATAGGGTGTGTAGGAGAGAGAGAGAGGGAGATTCATTCCCAGTAAAAGTAGGTCTTAGACAGAGATGTGTAATGTCATCATGGTTGTTTAGTATATTTATTGATGGGGTTGTAAAAGAAGTATATGCTAGGGTGTTGGGGAGAGAGGTGGGATTAAATTATGGAGAATCAAATACAAAATGGGAGTTGACACAGTTACTTTTTGCTGATGATACTGTACTTTTGGGAGATTCTAAAGAAAGGTTGCAAAGGTTAGTGGACGTGTTTGGGAGTATGTGTAAAGGTAGAAAGTTGAAAGTGAACATAGATAAGAATAAGGTGATGAGGGTATTTAATGATTTAGATAAAAAAAATTGGATATCACACTGGAGAGAGGGAGTATGGAAGAAGTGAATGTGTTCAGATATTTGGGAGTTAACTTGTCATTAGCTGGGTTTATGAATGATGAAGTTAACCACAGAACAGATGAAGGATAAAAGGCAAGTGGTGCAGTGAGGTATCTGTGGAGACAAAAAAAAAAAAAAAGCATTATCCATGGTGGCAAAGAAGGGAAAGCATGAGAGTATAGTGGTACCAACTCTCTTATAAGGGAATGAAGCATGGGTTGTAAATGCTGAAGCGAGGAAGAGGCTGGAGGCAGTGAAGATGTCGTGTTTAAGGGCAACGTGTGGTATAAATATTATGCAGAGAATTCGTAGTGTGGAAATTAGGAGGAGGTGTGGAGTTACCAAAAGTATTAGTCAGAGGGATGAAGAGGGGTTGTTGAGGTGGTTTGGCATTTAGAGAGAAAAGAACACAGTAGAATGACTTCGATAGCTTATAAATCTGTAGGGGAAGGAAGGACGGGTAGGGGTCGTCCTCAAAAAGGTTGGAGGGAGGGGATAAAGGTGGTTTTGTGGGTGAGGGGCTTGGACTTCCAGCAAGCATGCATGAGTGTGTTAGGAGTAAATGGAGACAAATGGTTTTTGAGACCTGACAAGCTGTTGGAGTGAGGGCAGGGTAATATTCTGTGAAGGGATTCAGGGAAACTGGTTAGCCAGACTTGAGTCCTGGAAATGAGAAGTACAATGCCTGCACTTTAAAGGAGGGGTTCTGGGATATTGGCAGTTTGGAGGGACATCTAAACTGCTGTATCTGAGCGCCTCTGCAAAGACAGTGATTATGTATGAGTGATGGTGAAAGTGTTAAATGATGATGAAAGCTTTTTCTTTCTTTTTGGGTCACCCTGCCTCAGTGGGAAACAGCCAACATGTTAAAAAAATAATCTTAATATCTGTATGTGACCCTCGGTATTTATAAGAATAGCTATTAAGCTTATATTTTTAAAAATATAGATACTTACAGCAATAGCATACAAGCTGTACTTGAGATCGAGTGGGTCATATCCTTCCTCTAAGCGGTGCTGGTGGAAGTCTTGAAGGGTATCACCGTATAAAACTGAACCATTTCTTATACGTCTTTTATTTCCTCCTTCGTTACCCCCAAGAGATACGTCTTGGTAAGTCCCTGGGCTCAGACTGTTGATGATGAAAATAAAACTACAAATAAAGATTGACTAAAAGACAAATCTAGTATATTAAAACTCAATATAATCCAAATCCAGTAAATTAAAAATTATAAAAGCCCAACACCAAAATCCTATCTTGTAGAAAAAACATGGGTAATGATGCTCTAACATCACCTAAAATGTACTATCAGTCACATATAAGAATCAACTCATTAAAAAAAAAAATCAAAAGGGAAGACTGCTTACCTGGTTGTGGTGCTTGTGATACTTCCATTTACTGTTCCATTCATAGAAGATTTTCCATTTTTCATAATGAAGTCATCATCATAGTTTCCCTTAACATGTTCCATAATCTGTGATACAAGAAATTAGCAACAAAATCTGAAAACATTACATACCAATAACTTGATATGGTTCAATTAATACATAATGGTGATTGATGAAAGTACAGTACCCTGGCTCTCTTATCCTAACAGCTTTCATAACAAGCACCTACAATACTATTATTGAATTTCTTGTCCTTTAAGGGGGTTATTTAATGTAAGTTGAACTCCATCTAGTAATATTATTTTCCCTTAAACAAAATATCAGTTCTAAAGCTTGAGGAAACTAGAATGTGCTTGTGAAGGAAATTATTTTTCAGTTAGGATTAAAATTCTTTATTTCAGCATGATACAATGTTTGTACAGAGGTGAATAACATTTAAGTGTGCATGCAGAAAGCCCTTCAATATGCAGAGCATTTTTAGCAAACTCAAGATACATTTGGTTTTCATTTCTTTGTGGGAAAAACAAAACTTTTCTTTCTCAATCAAAATCTGCTCTGAGAGATACACACCTATGCAGTGCTTTCAAAGATATTTAACCCTTTCACTGTCACTTACGTAGATCTCCATCACTGATAACAATGTCAGGAAGATCAAAGCCGTAATCATGGCACCCTCAAACATACTGTGACTGATAAATTTTCGCCTACACATATGTATGTATATGTATGTACAGCCTCTCCTCACTTAACAACGGAGTTTCATTCCTAAGACCACGTCAAACGAGTTCGTAGCTAAGTGAGAAGCACACTATAATGGTAGTGGATTTATGTCAACCATCTTTGATATTGTTTTAATGTCACCTTTGCACCATTTATAACATTTCTGGTATATTTTTAAATATTTATACAGTAATGTATTGTATACTGTAATAAAGAGAATAGAGAAAATCAGCTCTAATATACATTATTTAGGTATGCACACTGGTCAGAGAGCTCATCATAAGTCTGAGGCATCGGTAAACAAGTACGGTGCTAATTGAGGAGAGACTGTATATGTGCAGAACCACTGCACATTTTTTTTTTTTAACGTATTGGCTGTTTCCCACCGAGGCAGGGTGACCCAAAGAGAAAGAAAAAA